TTAATTCATTTTTTTTAAACAGAACAAAACAATTATATATACAATAAGAAATACAATCACAAATAAAATGAAAGACAGCAGAAAGAAGAAAAAATCTTATAATATCTGCCACGTTTTACAAAAAAAATAATTCAAACAATAATAATCTTCAAATAACAAAAACAAAATAAACAACTCCTTCTCGAGCAACAATTCATAAAAAAAAACATTAAGCTATTTCATATTTTTTTAACAAACCAACTTTTATCATTCTCTTAGACATTGATCTGGCATTTTTAACATCACTCTCCAGATTATTCCATAATCTAATTCCTTGGATTGAGATAGACCGTTCCTTCAGACTAGTTCAAAATTTAGGTTTCACAAATATTTCCAACCCCTTAAGATTATAACAACTCTCTCTTTTAACAAAATTTAATTGGATATTTAAACGTAATGTGTTATTATGAGCCCTGTACATAACTGATAAAATATTATAATCTACCAAAGCATGGAACTTCAGTAACTTCAATTCATAAAATAAATTACTTGATGGGTGACTGTAATGCTTTCTGGTGATAATTCTTACAGCTCTTTTCTGTAAAACACAAAAAGGATTTGTAATTGTTTTACACGCTTTCCCCCAAACATGAATAGAATAGATTAAATGTGGAACAATGATTGTGTTATACAACATGTACAGAGCTTTATCATTTAATAACTCCCTTACTTTGTAAAGTACTGCAATATATTTAGCTATTTTTATTCTTACATAATTTATATGATGTTTCCATGTCAGCTTGTCATCAATGATAACACCCAAAAATTTCACCTCACTAACTCTACAAATCTCAACACCATCAACTCTAAATGGATCATCAACAGTTCTCTTTTATTACTGAATATCATATAGTTAGTTTTATCTAGGTTTAATGATAATTTATTAAGTTTAAACCAAGTTTGTATTTTTACAAATTCTGTCTGCATCAACTTCAACACCCGTTCTTTAACTTTACCCAAACAAAAAAATGTGGTGTCATCTGCAAAAAGAACGCATTTAAGGAGCCCTGACACATTTACAAAGTCATTCACATATAAAATAAATAACTTTGGTCCAAGTACAGAACCTTGAGGAACTCCACAAGTGATACTGCAGAGGTCAGAGCTTACATCATTAATTTGTACAAACTGTTTCCTGTCTTTAAAATAGCTAGATACCCAGTGTAATGCTGGTCCTTTTATACCATATTTATTTAATTTTTCAAGGAGAATGGTGTGGTCAATAGTATCGAATGCTTTTTTTAAATAAATAAAAAAATACCAACACAATATTGTTTTTGATCGACAGCAGTTATTTGTTTTATCAATTCCACAAGAGCCATTGATGTAGAGTTTTTTGCTCTAAACCCATACTGACTGCTACTTAGAATGTTTTGTTTAGTAATAAATTTATCTAATCTGGTCACAAATAGTTTTTCTAGAATTTTTGAGAACTGTGGTAACAAGGATATTGGTCTATAATTATTGAACACACATTCCTCACCATTATTAAAAAGAGGAATTACCTTAGGTACATTCATATTGTCTGAAAATATTCCTGTTGAAAATGATAAATTACATATATATGTGAACGGCTCGATAACATGACTCATTATGTCCTTTACAAACATCATATCCATGTCCACCCAGTCTTTTGATCTCTTGTCTGCATTTTTTTTTTTTACTATATTCATTATTTCTTCTTTGTCAGTTCCATCAAGAAAAATACTGTTGGCACAACCTGTAACTGTATGACTCACATTATTGTCTTCTTTTGGTATTTTAGCTGCAAGGCTTGATTCAACATTCACAAAATAATGATTAAATCCATTTACAATTTCATTCTGATCATGGATTTCATTGTCATCCTCAACAAAATATTGTGAAATACCTGTTTTTACTTTATATTTAAGAACACTATCCATTACTCGCCATGTTGATTTCATATCACCATTACTTTTGGTTAATAAATCACTGTAATATTCCTTCTTATGCATTCTTATCTTATTTGTGCAGAAATATAGAAAATTCTAAAAGATTCACAAACTTTCAAGCTCCACTGTACATGTGATGTGAACATTAAGATATAATAAGACATTTCACACTAAAATTCCTGTGAAATGTTTTAATATAGAACTCCTCATTAAAATTTGGTTGGGATGACTCATAAGTCTGTCATACGGTTCCACTGCACTCTTGTTGGCACCAATTCAGTGGTTTCTGCTAGTAGGAATGCCTTAGATGTGATGAAAAAATTGTTGCTACATGTGTTGGAAATGCAATATGAGCTTTCACACATAAAGCAAACCTAAGTTGTTGCTTTTTCTAAAACAAAGTTAAATTAGCAGTCATTAGTTTCTGTTTTTAGGCAGTATATTATTAGGCGCATCATAAAATTAAACTAAAGTTTTCCACCAGTTCTTAGAAAAGACGTGTGGGAAAAACTTAGAAACGTTGCAAAAAGATGGTCCTTCACTTTCTATACAGCCGGCCAAAAATTTTATTTTAGTCCATAGTCAAATATCATAAAAATAAAATATGATTTGGTTCGCGAGATGTAGTGATTTTGATCCACAAAATAAAGTTGTTGCCGGCTGAGTAGGGTTTATTTTATGACTCATCTCCAATGATCCATGCTGAGTCCAACTTGTGTCTTGCGTATTTATTAAAAGTAGCACAATGACTTTTGCCATCCGGCAAAGAGCACCAGTATTAATTTACATGGCTGGTAAGTATGACTGAAAATGATAAGATATCGATCAAAAAAGTGACGTTCAAAAGTGGCGATGCTAAAGGTTGATGCTTCTAAAGGGTGACGGTCAACAGAAAGTTTGCAAATAACCCTACTAACCCAGCACTGGTGCCATTACCCAGATCAATTAAGTAATATGTGACCACACCCCTCATGCAATTACTTTGTACCTGAAGGGTTGGACAAATCTGAACACCTGTGCCAATAACAGTTAAACAACACATAACAGTCATTTTGGCTCTTACACTATGATGTGCAAGTTTTTATAACGTAGTACAATATAATATTGGTTTAAACAAAAAGGCACAAACTATTGTATTAAAACCTTTTTCAAAATGATTTAATGCTGAAATCAATTTATGTTTAATGTACACCATAAAAGTGGATATAAAAACTACAGTATACAGTTTGTAAGGCACATACACATACACCGTCATTAACACTGGAGAAATGGAGTCTTACTTAAATTGAACAAATGCTTGATTGCTCTAGTTTTTAACCCCATTTCTACGCTTCCCTCAAAAATACACAGAACAAAAATATAAATGCAACACTTATGTTTTTACTTCCATTTTTCACAAGCTGAATTCAAAGATTCATGACTTTGTCTATTTACATATTAGGCCTTTTTCTCAAAATCTGTTAGTGAGCACTTCTCCTTTAATAAAAGAATCAATCCACCTCACAGAAGACATTGTTTTAAAAAAATGAACATTATTCATTAATGAGATATGAGTTCATGAAAGGGAGTCTCGTGGTTTTTGGGGAACTTTTGGACCATGCTTTTTATTTAAGTCCAAACTAAAGAACTTACGATGGTGTGAAAACAGTCCTGGAGGCCTTGAAGCTGTAAAAATATGTAAATATTCTGATAGTATCAACCAAGTTGTTATTTTAATGATATTTTCATTTCACAGGCAAAAGCTCTGGTGGATATGTCTGAAGTTGGCATGCCAACTGCACGCTCCCTCAGAATTTAAGACATATGTAGCATTGTGCTGTGTGACAAAACTGTACATTTTAGAGTGGCCTTTTATTGTGGTCATCCTAAGGTTCACCTGTACAATAATCATGCTGTCTAATCAACATCTTGTCATGCTGCACCTGTGAGGTGGCTGGATTATCTCAACAAAGGAAAAGTGCTCACTAACACAGATTTACACAAATTTGTAAACAATATTTCAGAGAATAAGACCTGTTGTGTACTTTGTACATAGAAAAAGTTTTAGATCTTTGAGTTCAGCTCATGAAAAATGGGAGCAAACAAGTGTTGTGTTTATATTTTCATTTAGTCTATACCTTTTTTTCTTTCTTTCTTCTTTTGGCTGCCCCTTCGTCAGGGGTCACCACAGCGAACTAAGTTGCACAAATATATGTTTGTATATATGTATATGTACAAACATATGTTTATATATATATA